TGCATGGATATTCCTAATACAAGTCTCCTGTGTTCCTGTGTTCTCTTTCATATTCATGTCACTAAAGATAGACTTTTTCTGGATTCCAACTATTCTGATACATTTAAAAATTATTCCTTCAATGGAAATACTTTAAAAAGTAGAGTAGGAATATCCACGTGAGAAAACTCAATATACTAAAATGTAGTTTGCTATTTTATTTATCTTGGGAAATGGCAAATGATAAATAACAACTGCTGCTTTAGAAACAGCAGAAAGCAGTAGATTCTGCAAACTCACCATGCAACTACAGCTGTATGCAGGGCTCATACACCCTTTGGAGCAGCTCTACTTCTCCTTCTGCTCCTGACCTGCTATCCTGGTCTTGAATCAATGCACTATAAAGAGCATGAATGACACCAAAGGTCAGTAGCTGAATTTGAGGTTCTGATGGGGCAGATGCCTGCTGATAAGGGAAGATGCAATACTTACAAATAGGCGATAAAGTAGCTTGGTCACAGGGTCCAAATATTTTCCCTAAAGAGGGAAAATAGGTGGTGACAAGGGCCACTAAAATCAATGGGAAGACTCACTGATCTCAGCAGCCTTTGGATAAGGTTCCAAAAAACAAACAGAAAAAGATGTTGGGTCACTAATCATTGAGGAATTGAGGAAAAGTAGGAGAAAAACTGCTTTAAACAGAACTTTACTTTGTAGCTTTCATCTTTACCAAAGAAAGTTCTCTAATGCAAAGGACATACTTCTAGCAGCTTTTAGCTGGTTAGCATTAAGACTGCTTTCCTTGGATGCACACAGCAGTGATTGTTCAGGAGGACAGTAAGAGGTACCCAGGTAGCTGAATTAAAAAAAAAAAAAAAAACACAAAAAAAGAAACCCACAGAAAAAAAGAATTAGAGGAAGATAAATGAAGCAAATCCCAGCAAGTCAGAAAGTTTCCAATATCCTAGTCACACAAAAAGCAGCCAACTCCACAAATGTCAGGAGAGGCATTTGGAAATGCTCACATAGAACAACCTTCATTAAGAAGCAGGTGAGCTCTACCAATTTTTTCTGTCAATGCAGGACTATTTTACCTTTTCCAGTTCACTTCCAATGTCACCTAATACAGCAATATAACATGCAGATATAGTTGTTGTTATGGAGAATAGCCTGTTGTATGAAACTTCACTGTTGTCAGTGAAGAAACCAGAAGGTTGATATTTACATCTCAGTAACAAATGAAATGCTCCTTGGAAGAATTAAGGGAGCCCAAGGATGAGCAGATCCCTGTTGTTTAACTTGTCAAGAGGGAAGTTGTGAAGCAACCAGGGAGAAAATCAACAGAGATCAATTTGTGTAAATGCCATTGAGGTACTAAGAACCTCCTGAAATCTGTAGGTGCTTTAAAAGAAAAGAGATCTTTGAATAGTTTTAACAATTTCAACATAGGAAGTGAGTATCTTAATGTATCAGGGCACTCACAGTACTGGCATTCAGGAGTGGAAAAGAGTTGCTTTCTATTCCCAGACCTTACTTGTACTTTGCAACAATCTAAATATATATATATATATATATATGTATATATATATAAATAACAGGCAGAACCTAAATCAGCACTCTGGTTCTGGCTGTGGTAGAGTTAATTTTCTTCACAGCAGCTGTCATGGTTTTGTGCTTTGGATTTAGGATGAAAATAGTGTTGATAACACACCAGTGTTTTAGTAGTCACTGAGCAGTGCTGCACAGAGCCAAGGACATTTCAGCTTCCCACGCTGCCCTGACAGTGAAGATCCGGGGAGCACAAGGTGCTGGGAGGGGACAGAACCAGGGCAGCTGGCCCAGACTGACCAAAGGAATATCCCATATCATATGGCATCACGCAGAGCATCGAAACTGGGGGGAACTGGCAGGCTTCCATTGCTTGGGGATGGGTCAGGTATTGGTCAGCAGGTGATGGGCAATTGTGTTTTGCATCCCTTGTTTTCTGATTACTTTTCTTTTCCTGGTTGGTTTTTCATGTGTGTGTTTGTTTTTTTCCTGTTGTGTTTATCTCAACCCACAAGATTATTTTTTTTTTTTTCCCCACCAATTCCCTTCTCCATTCCATTGGGAGTGGGAATGAGAAAATGGCTGTGTGATGCTGAGCTCTCTGCCAAGCTAAACCACGGCAATCAGTCAGTGAAAGCCCAAAGGCCGTGGCTGGAACCTTTGCACCTCTGAAGTGCTCCTACGGTGTTATTCAGAAAGTATGAATAAATATCAAGCAGTACATAAGCCTTACATTACAGCCTTGAACAGGATGAAGTTAGTCCTGAAGTCCTATTGCCAGGCAAAAGTCCTGTAAGAAGCCTCATTTCTGTAGAAGAATGTCATTACAGCAGGAAGAGATGAGATTCATCTCCACACACTTCTGTGATCTCAAAGCTGGACACTGGGAATAAAGGCAGGAGGCAGCAGTCTCTCCAATCAAAGCAGGAAGATGTGAGCTCCCGTGACTAAGTGATTCACCCCAGTCTAAAGAAGGCAGCTGAGACAAATCAGATGAGCTGCTCTCTAGAGACTTCTGTCTCTCCACTGACAATAAAGAGAAGCTGGACTACAAGAACAGACACAGTGTTGAACTCTAAGTGGCTATAATAAAGTGACAGAAATCCTATCTTTCACAAGCACTGACAGTGTTTTAGTGTAAATCATTTAAGACACATTGAAAACATTTAGACCAGGAGAAATCAAGCATCTTTATGCAGAGAAGCAAATACTAAGAGGTAATACACTTAGATGTCTGAAAATCGTGTGCTTATAGCTCATTGTGTAAATAAAGAATAAAGCATGCAAGTAAGGAGTAAAGAGTACCTTCAGGTACACTGTTTAGCCCTGGTATTTTTCAGTATGACAGCAAAAAATCTTACTTGCAGCGGATGCTGATTTCTCAGTCTGACTGGCCACCGGCCGGATGCCTCCATCCTGTGGATGCTTTGCTGTGGAGGTGTTCATGGACCCAGCACCTTGCTGTACTCCTGGGGCTGGCAGCACAGAGCAGGCAGCTCAGCAGGGTGCTGTTTTATGTAAAATTGCAAATAAAGCTATAGCTACTGTATTAGCATTTCATTAAAATTATTTTTGCCACCTAAGTGGGCAAACTTATTACAAAAAGGGGAAGAACATTGACATGGTGTTTCAGAGGAACATTTTCAGACACTACATAGGTGATCAGATGTTGAACACTTGTTATTCTTAATGTGAATGATTGCTTTAATCCCCTTGCTATCATGCTACAAAATTGCCCTTGACATGATCTTTTGCAGTGCACTGAGCATTATTTTATAGGCTGTGCTCCTAATGAACTTGCTCTGGTGAGAAAAATGCCAGTGAAACTGAAAAAGTCTGCACCTCTTTCTCATGTTTGATTCCTTTTGCATTTCTTCTTGAGGTAATGTCTGGATTGTGATCTCTTTGTTTCTAGAGCAGTACATTAAAAATCAGCTAATGTAGCATTAACTAAACACTAATAGGCCATTAAAGATGGACTTTCATGCTTGAGAAAACAAGAACGTTTCAAATGTAAGTATGAGGCAATTTCATATGCACGAATTTCTGCTGCCTGATGCTATTTATATTAATAATTTATACATGACTACTATAAGCTGCAGTAGATATCCCAACTTTCTTGGCTCAGTGCTGCTTCTTGTCCTCACAAAAGGCACAGGGGGCCCAGAGAGGGCTGGCCACTGCCCCAGGCTCCCCTGCCAGCTGCCTGGCTGGAGAACAGGCCCAGCTGGGTGCGATGCTGGCAGCACAGCAGTGATCCAGGAGCAAGTAATTCTTAAGAAACCTGCTGTCGTAAGCCCCTACAATTTGCATGATGATCAGCAAATGTTTTCTTGTATTTTAGGGCACAGTTATACTTCCACTAAATTTATTTACAGTGCAGATACATACACAGCCACCCTGGGAAGCCGATAACCTTGTTAGGCACACACACACACGCTTCTGCAAGCACAAAGGAAATTTCCACTGCAGATCTGGCTGAAGCCCTTCCTGCTGTGGTGTTTATCTCCATAACACAGACCCACAAGCCAGAAGGCCCGCTGTCATGCAGCCCCCACATGAGGCAGGGCTCCCAGCCCATACATTTGGCTGCCTGTGTTCTGCCCATCTCTCACAGAACATAAGCCCTGGAGGGAGCAGCCGATCCTGTGCTGCCCATTCAGTGTACTGCACTGCCCACCCTGTGCACCCTGAGCCCCTACTGCTTCCAAGAAGGCTGCCAGCATCTTGCCACAGCTGAGAAATTAAATCCTTGTGCACTGCCCACTGAAATCAATGGGAATGTTTGCTCTGCATAACCTCACAAGTCAAGCTTTTTATAAGACCTGGACTTGTGGCAGGTGTAGTTCAAGAGATACCTTTGAAACTATGCAACTACACAGCTGACATGAGGAAACAGAGAATGGGAATGGATGGCGAAGATGGTAGCTTTCACCTCCTAGAGCCATTCTCCTGATGATTTCCTAATAAGAAGTTCTGTTTGAGTTGCTGTGACTAAATAAGCAATTGTGTTTTGCTTTGGTATAATCATGATAATAAAACTTGCCTGTAGCAAAATGCTGTTGTGAGGCAAGGACATGACTTCCATCTGCCTTTCTCAGCTTGTCTTAACCTCAGCAAAACATTTTTTGAACAGAAGCTGCTCACACACACACTTAAGTCCAAGACACATTTTCAGCCTCAGTCTGCTGATAGCAATCATTCAGTCCCTTGCCTTCCCTCCACTTGGGTGGGTCTTCATTAGAGAAAGAAATCAAAATATTCCTGTTAGCATTGAACTGGTAGTACATACATACCACCTAGCCAGAAAGAGGCAGAGGGGACTCCCCCCCCCCACACACACACACACAATAAAACATCAGATAAAAATCTTGCTCTGATAGAGCCAAATATAATTTCATTCAAGACCAAAGTATAAGCAAATCAACCAGCTCATTACTGGTGCGTTCCCATCCCATCTAGTCCAAGGTCAGACAGGCATGGCTCAGCATTTGAGTTTTCTCAGGCTTTTCCATGGGGCTGTTCTGGGGTTTGTTTGATGTGGCAGAGTTAGGGTACCCACTCACTAGATTTAAAGACCTCATCAAGCTGATGCCTTGATAGATCGCTGTCTTTTCTAATTATTGCCTATATTTAATTGGAATGAACACTGTTGAGCCAATACTTTCAGTTTAAAAGCATACGCAGATAAATGGTTTCTGGTCTTTGAAACATCGGAGTAATAGATGCATTGTTTATGTCTGAAATAGGTTGGTTTTCAAGAACTAGCCCTTTTGCAAAAAACATCTGTTCCTATGCCCCTCAAGACAGCATTAGATGATGTTAAGTGCTCTCATTTTTCTGCTTCTTAAGATATTTTTATCAGGATGAGTCATTAGGTATTCTGGTCACTTCTCTTACAGATGCAGTTATGATTTTAACGGGGAAAATGTCAGTTCTGAAAAACCTCTCTGCTACATCTTTCTATTCAGGGAGGATTTAAGCTATCATGGAAGTATGGAATGTGACCCACAGGACACCTTGCCCCTGCCCCAGGGCAGACTCAGCATACCTTCCCAGCACTGCTCAACCTGCCTCCAAGGGCAGACAGCCTCTGGCATTCCCACAGCTTGAAACTGGTGTTATTTAACCTAAATATGCTGTTCAGGCACTTTTTAGGACAATTTATTTTCCTGGCCTGCAGAACAATTTTGTATCTTGCTGCTTCTGCTCTGCAAATTGACCCTGTGTTTCTTCAAGCAGAGCTGAGATGTTGCCAGTGATAAACAGGGCAAAAGGATTACTTAACACATCTTCCACACAAATCCTGTTTCAACATCCTGCTGCAAATCTGAGTGCCCTCAGTAGCTCAGCATCACTGACATAGGTCATGTGCCTCCTGTGTACCCCACAGTCTTTACTAATATACAGGTGCTTTGTTCTGCTTCTCTCATCTTGTGTTGGTACAGTGAGTTTTACTACCTACTTATTGTACTACTTATTTCAGATCATTTCAGTTTTTCAATATCTTTTTGAAGTCCGGCCATGTACTGCAGTTATGTTCTGTTCAAGAGTTGCATTGCTTCATGTCCAAGCCCTCAAATATTGCGTAATACTGAACTATGGAGAAACCCTAGCATGAATTTACTTTTAATTCTCTGTAGAAATATGGATTTCCAGCCAGCTTTACAATTTCACAGGAGTTTCAATAAGAGTGCTTCCTTAATTTGGTTATGAGACTCCCCGGTAAGTCAGAAGATAGAGCCAATATCATAATATCTACCAAATTCTTCCCTGCTCAGAAGTCCTTGTTTCCTCTCTACACATAACATTAACCTTCTCTTTCCTTAGAAGTGAGCCTCTTTCCTTTCTTGCCTGCACATTTTAGCAAATGTCCTTCCACATATTTTTCCTACTGCTTCTTGTTTCATTCTGTGTCAATTGTTTTTTTTTTTTTCCTATGCATCGTCCTTCCCGATTTTGCCCTTGTAGGTTTGTGCTAGACTTACACATACCTTTTTTAGTAACTTGACCTACTTTCTACACCAAATAATTTTCAGGTCACTGAAAAACTCCTGAGTTAGCACAAGTGGTTTCTCACAACACTTCCTGTATCTCTTTCTCTGAAAATAAAGCGTTTCTCTCTTCGAGACAGCGTTTCACAGAACTTCCTTCTGACCCCCCTTTCTCTATCAGCCTAGCTTGCCTCTCAGTTCTCCAAATAATGACGTTTGCTTTCTTGAAATCCTATATTTTTGTTTTCTTGATTGGTAGATATCAGGAATTCCATTCCTTATGATCATTTGCATCAGTTTGTCGTCTTCACACTCTGGGCCAATTCATCCTCTGCTCTATAGAACCAAGACCAAGGGAGCCTTTCCTTCTCCGAGAGCCAGATGGCAATCCCAACACAACAGGGCTGCTTCCTCTCCTCTTGTCCTGCTCAGAGTCTCTCTGCATCCTTGCCTGTCTTCGGGGCTCTTGTAATGGCACGGCTTTTCAGTATTTGCTTGCATCCAGGCTCTCAGGGACCAGGCCTTCTGGGATGTCGGGTTAAATCTGGAAACAGGCATCTCTGTCACTCTTATACTTTTCCTCAGCAGACTGCTGGTTTCATACATCTTACAGTGATGAATGACCGTCCTTAAATCTTACCAGTGATGAGTCCTCATCAGCTACCAAGGCAGAGTGTGGATAGCTACTCAGGTCACCCAGAAAAGAGTTATTAAAACACAATAAAACCACACTGTATGCTCCCAGTTCTCATCAGCATGAGAGTGGTCTACTGCCCAATGTCATCTCACTTCAGTATTTTTATAACAGGCAACATTTTTATGAGTCTAACTACAAACACAGATCAACCCAGTGGAGCTATCAACACCAACACTCAACGTCCAAATGACGAACAGATGCCTGCTGTTCATCTGAGTCTAGTCTAGTGGCAGTATGCAGACTTCTCTACAAAAATAATCTGTGCTACTCAGTACCCTGAAAGTCAAAGGTGCAAACAAAACCGCTTTCATTACCAAGTCCAAATTTGATTCCAGCTAGCAACATGTTGAATAGTTTCTTTCTGACTCTGTTTTAGAAATTCTAGGATTATGTGAGGCTCCAAGACTTTATTAAAAGCTGAGCAATGCTTTATGATTGCAGAGAGAAACTGGAAAATGTGCACCTTTTTGGTTCAGCAGCAAAGCAGCAAATTTAAAAGACTGATTTGTTGTTTGCTGCATTTATTTGAATCCTGCTATTTTAATGAGAACTCTGTGCCCAATAATTTTGAAATGTTTGGACTTGCTGCAATGCCAGATAAGCGTGGCACATGTTTTCAGGATTGAGACCATTAGCTGAAGTGGTCTAGTTTGACATATTTTCCTACCTGCCTTCCTGAGAAAAAGTAGTAGAGATAAAATAATAACCTGACCAAATATCAATGTTATGGAGTCAAATTTACCTTGGTTGATGAATTTGACTACTCATTATGCTTAGGATGATTTTTCTTTTGTGTGCTATGTTGCTTAGCTTTGTAGATTCTTTGTCCAGTGACAAATTAGTCTTCCTTGGTTTGTCACTGACAACAAAGCTACTCTCACAATAGGAAATCAAGCTTATTTCAAGACTTCAAGGCTTAAGTAAGCAACATTTCCTAGGTCTTATTTCCATAGTGAAGAAACCTGCAGATAACATGGAAAATTAGCTTTCCTATTTTCCTTCATGGTCACATGAGGCAACCTCTGTTGTGCCAGCACAAAGCATAATAGTTGGTAGGAAAAAAAAAAATCAGCTTCCTAATATTTAGTGGGATGTCATTCCTCTGTGTAATACTAGCATATATATTATATTGAGGCTTTTTATAAGAAAATCATGCTTTACACAGATTACAAAGCCATTCTGGTATGGATCACTTCTTGGGCAAATTTACCTTTAGATCAGCATGCACATATTTAGCAGAATCCCTCAGTAGGTGTTTAAGGTAATGGTACGAGCAGAAGTAATTCAGATTAGGCACATTGTTGGGCTAGGGCTATCATAAAGTTACACAAGGTGCAGAAAAGCACTTCTTGTCCTTACCCATTGTCATCCTCACCTGGAAAGTATTAAGCTGTGTTTAAAATGTTAGTCAAATAAAAAAAAAAAGAGACTCTTATTGGCCACTAGTATATTATCAGCCAGCATCAGCCTCATATCTTAATCAAAGCAGAGGCCTCACTCAAGGGAAATCCACTGCAATGAATTGCAAGCAAATGATTCTGCTACATTCCTGAATTGCCCCAAATCCTAGAAACTTTCAAGGGGAAGGGCTACAGCACCAAATTATTACTCTGGTGTTTTAAAATGAGGATGATCTAATCGGAATTTGAAAATGAGCGTTAATTTTGTTTTGTTTGTTTCCTTGCTTCACTATAATTAAATAATTGGTGTAATTCACTTGCTTTTTCCTCCACATAGGGAAAGTTTTTGGGGCAACACAGAAACATACAGCAGTTTAAATAAGATTTCATTCACTGAAGAGGGAAGGCAAGAGGAACTAGCTAGCAGACAAAGCATACAATCAATGCATACAGAGGTGTAAAAATCAATTGGCATACAGAGTTTTAGGCTATGTAAGATTATCACAACAGAAAGATCAAAAGAAAGATGGAAAATACTTACCAGTGTTACAGGCTCACAGTATTCTTCACAAGAAGTAATCTCCAGGAAGGATCCTTCCTCAGTGGTAATCAGCACTTAAATGGAATCTAGGAGAGGTGGAGCCAGGCTCCACCCCTTCCAGTAGCACAGGTGAATTGCCTTCACCTGTGCTCCTGTGACTGACTCATTGCTTGTTTCAGGTGGTCAATCAGAGGTTCAGGCCATGATTCAGCAGCTCCCATACACAGAGGCATTTCTTTTTCTTTCTGTGTTAGTGAATATGAACCTCACAAACACATTTGCAGCCCAGAAACTAGATATGGGGCTCTAAGACCTGGATGCCAGCAACATAAACACCATCACCACCTATTAAATGCAGAGGGAGGGCTGTGAATGTACAGAAACACATACGTTCATGTTTGCACAAGAAGAAAAGTGCAAAACAAATCAATATATACTGTTGCATCTTTTCTGCCTTCCTCTGCTTGGCTGGACAAGGAGGGGATATGGCATAAGGAGCAGCCTTGTCCCTCCTAATAACCAGAGCAGATTGCATATTTCTGTAATGCTTGCAGAAAAGTTGTATCTTTTCCTGTGCCTTGGCTCAGCACAAGGAGAAGCACCAGCCCAGAGTGTTGGCCAACCCATGCAAGGATCACAGCTTTAGGTTGGTTTCCATACCAAGAACCGCACCAGTTTTCCTCCCCATGCCTTGGTGGTTCCTTTAGCTGGAACCTAACAAGAGGAGAGGGAACCTTTAAATCTTTTCAATTTCAATCCACATTGCCTATTGCTCTCAGAGCTGGGAATTCACTCAAACCTGGGATTTGACTTATAGCCCCTCTTCCTCATCTACCACACTCTACACAGCCAAAGCAGCATGCAGGCCTGTATAAGACACTGAAGTGACAGCCACTTGTGTCCCTGATGAAATCAGACTGGCTGCCACAAACTGATGCTAAGATTGCCAAATGCATACATAGGATGGAACTGCTATATATACATATATATATATATATACATAAATATATATATATATATATTTTTTTTTTTTTTGCAAGGTTACTGGGGCAAAACACTGGAAGTCAGGATTATTCCAAACCAGCAAGTTTTTTTCAAGCCCCTCAACAGCTGTACAGGCTGCTGAGCGCTAGGAAATAGTTAAAGTCAGCTCAGATTTTGATCCTTGTTTTAAAAGACTGTTAGCATAAAGCACTCAGAAATACTGGATCATTTAGTGCAGTGACTAGCAAATTCCTGCTGGGTTGGAGTTTGGTATTTCATCTTCCAAATAGTTTCACTGAGCACAGAAAAGCAGCTGGAGAGACTTTCCTGCAGTGGGAAAGATGCTTTTTCCATACATTGATGAGAGAATAAGATTCACACTATGGTATTACACTTGCCTAAGTGTGCCATAGTTGAACTCCAGTGCCCAATACTGGAGGAGTTAAAAGGTCTCCTTGGTTCACTTGAAATTAAAGCTGAGATATCTTTCTCCATTCTGATTTACAGGACAGTAGGGACACCAGAGCTATCATGGTTGGAGTAGCTACTGTCTGCATGCACAGCAGACAATAAGGCAGCGTGTCTGGCCTCCTTGCCCGACCTCCTCACTTGAATTCCTGCAGCAGTATTGGCTTGGGCAGAGGAGGTACTGCCACAGCTGAACACACACACACAAAAAAAGCTACGGGGAAAGATGCAGATCCCTTCTCGATCCTAAATTTGGAGTTTCTAAATAAAAAGGATTAATTCCGTGTTGCCTCCTTTCTCTGCTAAGATGCAGTTCTCAACAGATGGTGAAGAGCAGCCTGAAATTAAATGTATCCTGCTTCACTGCTAGATGCCTTTTTACAGTGCTACACCCTGGGTCATGTCCTCACCTCTCACAGCTATGGGGTGTAGATTTAGCTGCTCATGCTGGTTTTTTTGAAATGCAATTTCTGTTTCTTTAGAATGGCCAGATGCACGCATTTCCACCAGGCTGCCCATTGGCAAAGGGTAAGGGGTACAGCTCAGCAGTGTCACAGCAGGCTCAGGTCTGTGATTTACCCACAGGAGAAATGCCTGACAAACATTTCATTAATAGAATGGATAAAACACTTGAAAACTAACTGCAAGGTGTAAACTGCCTACTCCAAGGTAACCACTCCTCAGGCTGTACACGGTGTGTTTATGTTGTGAGGTAGGAGACTAAAACCCACCTTTTCACAGAATCACAGAACTCCAGGTATTGGAAGGGGCCTCTGGAGACTGTCTAGTCCAATCCCTTGCCAAAGCAGGTTCCCTACAGCAGGTTGATCAGGAAAGCGTCCAGGTGAGTTCTCAGTATCTCCAGAGTGGGAGACTCCACAACCTCTCTGGGTTCCATTGTTACCAGAAGGTCTGGAATACCTTCTCAGTGACCCTTTGAATAGTGCCTTGCATTCTGATGCCATTCAGTTTTAGATTTAGATCTTAGAGCTCCTCCTTGAGAGCAAGGATGCTTTCCCTTTACATTTAGGATAACATGACCAAACTGCCGAGTGATTCCCAGTCAATTAGAGCAGTGTTTTAGAGGGCTGGTTCTCCACAGTCATCTGCTACCCTCAGCTTTGCAGAAGTTTGTTCCTTGAGCTGCCCTGATGCTGGTTGGTTGCACATTGTCCTCTGCCTTGGGGGTACTGAAAACTGAAATTTCGTCTCCAAGCTTTAGACTGAAACTAATGATTATTTACCTCATAGATAATCTTCTAGTTAAGGAAAAAGAACTTAGGCATCTCTTCTGTCCGACTCACAGAATCTGCTTGTGGCAAGACCAGAAGGAGCAGCCCTTGAGAGTAGCCCTGTGGAGAAGGATCTGGGGATCCTGGTGGATGGAAAAGTTAACATGAGCCAGCAGTGGGTTCTTGCAGCTTGGAAAGAAAATGGTATCTTGGGCTTCATCAGAGGAGGGCTGGCCAGGAGAAGGGAGGGACCGTCATTACAAGAAAGACAGAGAGCTGTTGGAGAGGGTCCAGAGGAGGGCCACAAAGATGATCAGAGGACTGGAGTACCTCCCCTGTGAAGACAGGATGAAGGAGCTGGGCTTGATCAGCTTGGAGAAGAGAAAGCTGCACGGTGACCTCATTGCAGCCTTTCAGTACCTAAAGGGAGCCTACAAACAGGAGGGGAGTCAACTCTTTGAAAGGGTAGATAATTGCACGACAAGGGGAAATGATTTTAAGTTGAAAGAGGGAAGATTTAGGTTGGATGTCAGGGGGAAGTTCTTTATTATGACAGTGGTGAGGTGCTGGAGCAGGCTGCCCAGAGAGGTTGTGGATGCCCCGTCCCTGGAGGTATTCAAGGCCAGGTTGGATGGAGCTCTGGGCAGCCTGGTCTGGTATTAAATGGGGAGGTTGGTGGCTCTGTCTGTAGCAAGGGGGTTGGAGATTCATGATCCTTGAGGTCCCTTCCAACCCTGGCCATTCTGTGATTCTGTGATTCTGTGAATTGTTAGACTTGGCTTAGCAAAATGAAGGAGAGATTCTTTTCACGATTCTTTTCATGAGTCTTATGTCAAGTTAAATGGAACAAATCAGTGAGGTTTGGGCCAGTTTTTGGAAGCTCTCCTCCAGGAGAGAAGAGTATCCAGAAGTACCCAATTGAGGGAAGAGAAGAAATAGCGCACAGAGAAGCACACTCACTCCTCCTACATCAGTAAGTCTTGGGAGTCAGAGAAGAAATTCCTGCCAGATGCATATATAACACGATCTGGGTAATGTGGAGGTTCTTTACACACAATATTTCTCTCTCGTGTTTCTATTTATAACTAGCCCCAGACATATCAAAAGGCACTAAAGATTTATTATGTTTAGCATAATTTTCTTCTTTTTTTAAATTGCTTGATGATAATGACTAGTTGATAATGAGGAAGTTTACTGCAGACCAGCAATGAAACCAATGCAAAGAAAAAGGAAAAGGAAAAAGGAAAAAGGAAAAAGGAAAAAGGAAAAAGGAAAAGGAAAAGGAAAAGGAAAAGGAAAAGGAAAAGGAAAAGGAAAAGAAAAAGAAAAAGAAAAAGAAAAAGAAAAAGAAAAAGAAAAAG